GATTCCGGCCACCGCAGCCTCAACCTGCCGGGCTCCGGCGATCCTTCCGCCTCAGCCTTCCAAGTAGCTGGAACTACAGGCATGCGCTACCACACCCGGCTGATTTTTTTGATTTATTGTAGAGATGAGGTCTCGCCAAGTTGCCCAGGTGGGTCTCAAACCCACGGGCTCAGGCAATCCACTCACCTCAGCCTCCCAAGGTGTGAGATTACAGGCTGAGCCACCGAGCTCGGCTAAAGCTGTCTCTTTCATCTCTACTTCTCTATAACTTTGCACAGTGCCTGGCCCCAGGAAGAGACTCAGTAACTGTGTTGAGCTGCCCTGAGCCCCACTGGTAGGGAGGGAGTAAATCATGTTTGGAGCAGAACGCTGGCCAGCAGAGGCAGCGTGGAGTCACAGAAGAGGTACAGGCTCCAGAGTACACAAGGGTTCAGGCTCCATCTCTGCCCCTTCATAGTAGGCTCACCTTGGCTTTGGAACTTGCTTTCCGTCTTTGAAATCAGAATGACTACGGCAATGCCGTAATTACTTCCTGTGTGACTATAAGAATTCCATAAGTTCTATAGGTAGACACGGAGTGTAACTTATTTAGCCTTATTTAGCCATGAAGTCACATTGACAGCATCAGGGTCAGAGACAGCAGAGACCCCACACCAAATGGAGATGGAGGTGGAGGCTGCGTGGAAGGGGTAGCAGAGTCAGAGGCGGAGAAACGTCAGGGTGGGAGCCGGGGAGAGCAGGGGCCCTAGTTTTCAAAGCCTCGGGGCTGAGGTGGAAGCAGGAGGCACTGCCACAATGGAAATGGAGCAGTCTCTCCTATCTTGCCGTGCCAGGGCACTGGTTATCAATCTCTTCCCCTTCTCAGGCAGTAACAAAAGCTTTACCATTTGTCATTAGGGTCTACAGCTGTGGGCAGAGAGCAGCTTCGGCACTCTCCCCCTCCTCTGAATAGCAAATAAGCTCTTTCTAATCCTCCCATTTTTAATGACTTCAGGCAATGGCTTTCATGTTCTCCCTTCCAGCTCCATTCTAGCCAGCAACCTAGAATCATGCAAAAAGAAAAATCCACAGCCATCAGACCCTAGAAGGGGGTTTAACCACAGCAAGAGCAGCAGGAAAATGGTGGAGTGGAGCCTAGGACTCTGGGGACAGTGCTCCCGCTGGAATCAGCTCCTGAATTCACAGGGCCCTCTGGGAGCTCAGCGCTTGTGAGACGCCTTGCTTTCGGGCTTGTTCTGGGTGCATGGGGAAGTCTGCGCTGGGAGCGGGAGGAGGGACCAGGGCTGTGTGGGTGCACTCTGATGCACAGAGAGGCTGAGCACATTCTCCCTGACACTTTCCTTGAGAGACAAGGCTCTGAGAGAAATCCACCATAAACTGCTCGGCTTTGCTGAGACCCTCGTCCTTCTAGAAGCTTTTATTTTAGAATTCAAAAGTCTTCTGGAAATTCCATTTAGAGAACACCGACAAAAGGTCCCAGTGAGGAAGCTGATGTCTCTTGGACAGTGAAGGGGAGCAAAGAAGCATTTCTAACATCTCTAGAGGTGCAGGTGTTTGGAAAAAGAGGAAAGAAAAAGCATGAAACAGAAAGTCTGGGACAGAATGGAGAGGAAAAATTGTTCTAAGCTATGAAGACATTATATGTAACAAAACTTACATTTGTATAGGACAGTCACAGCTTACAAGGTGCTTTCACGGCTCTTAGTGAAATTCATAGAGTTTTTTTTGTACCTTGAGCCTCAATTTATTTGGGAAGTTGGAGAGCTGAACAGTAATACATAGGGCAAGTACCTAGTAAAGTTGTTCAGCATGTCTTGACCATCAGGAGGCATCATGTCCTTTAGCTTAAACTCACAAACACGTCTGAAAGTAAGCTGGGCTCCTGTCATCACTCCCATTGTACAGATTGCCAAACCAAAGCTGCTCAGCGGCCCTTTGTAAAGGGTCCAGGGTAACCCAATGAATGACCCTAGGAAGACTTAAACCCAGAACCTCCGTGTTTTCTCTACCCCATGTAGCATCTTCGCAATTTCAGCTGCTGCTGACCCGTCACTGAGATCCACATTTGGAGGTGCTTTCTTAATGGAAACATGCTGGGTTTTCCTCATCCACACATCCACACTCTCATTCAGTCCCCTAACAGCCCCTGACACTATGGCATGGCTGTTGTGACTAATATACCATGTTCTCCAGGTCAGAGTCCACTGACCCAGGGGACAAAGACCTTGACCTCATTGGCACATTTAATCCAACAGGACAAAGAGCATGAGCAAGTTTTCAGATTCCTTTCTGTATTAGGGACTATGTGAAATTACAAAAAAAAATACAAAGCTAAAAGGATCTGCCAGGCACAGTGGCTCATGCCTGTAATCCCAGTACTTCTGAAAGCAGAGGCAAGAGGATTGCCTGAGTTCAGGGGTTCAAGACCAACCTGGGCAACTTGATGAGACCTCGTTTCTACAATAATATTTTTTAAAAATAGCCTGGCATGGTGGTGTGCACCTGTGGTTCTAGCCACTTGGAAGGCTGAGGTGGAAGGATCACCTGAGCCCAGCAGGTCAAGGCTGCAGTGGCCATGGGTGTGCCATTTGCACTCCAGCCTGGGCAACCACAGTAATACTCTGACTCAAAAATAAATAAATAAAAATAAATAAATAAAATAAAAGAACCTGAGACCCAGGGGGACAGGCCGGGAGCCAATCTTGGCCTGGCCATGGTGGGATGTAGACCATGCTACACACTGTACTCCCCACTCACCCTCTCCCATCGACCTTCCAACTCTGACACACACATCTTTAAGGAAACCTACTCTAGGAGTGGGCAGAGAGCAAACAATTAACCAAGGCTAGTTGGCTGGATTGAGTGCTCAGGGGCTATCATCCTGAAAATAATAACTGCCATCATCAGCATAATACCATGTTGCATGTTTAGAGCCCTCACCCTTTCCCAAGCGCTAATATGAATACAGTGATCTCACTCCCGCTTGCCGGCACCTCCCCCACTTCTAAGCAAACCCTGAAGTTTCTCAAATCTATAGGAACAAATCATCCAAATTTCACCCAAGTTGCAGGATAGGGTAAACTCTCCATTATTTCATTAGACTGAGCACCCTAAGGCCAGGACTGACAGGAATCTTCAAGCCAGGTTCTCAGTCTGTGGTCTAAGACTAGGTTGATACTGAGTGGTTCTAACAGAAGAACAAGAGTCACCTCCTCCCCTTGCTCCAAAAAAAAGTCACTAGCTACACAGCCCCGAGAAGGACCCGTTTAGCTGACACCGGGGACTTATCAGCCCCTGTAAATGGCAACTGTGCCCTCAACTCGCTGCTTAGAAATCGATGACCTCTCATTTTAATCTCTCTCCAACTCATTGTGATTGTGAGTCCTTCTGCATCGGAATGTGTCACCAGGGTTAGCCACTGGCAACGCCGGGGACCGGCACATGGACTGGAGACAAAACAGATGCTGTGTGCAGCCAGAATGCTGTGCAGGCAACCCGTTTAAAACAACAGCAGAAAAAGACATGAATGAAACTAAAATAAAAGGGATCTTGTCATAGTCCAGATGCCAACCTACATTTTCTGAGCCTCCCGGGTAGATCTGAGGGAAGAAACACTTTTGACCAGAAGGCAGGTTTCAGAGACCTGAGGAACTGAGGTTGGGGAAGGAAGGTGGAGAACAGGCAGGACAGTGGTGACCAGCACCCACTAACTAGGAAGAACAGGCATAACCTGCACCCTTGCTCCGGGAGAGGGTGGCGGGCTTAACCGCTCCAAGGCATCTGTTAGAGAATAAACCCAGATGATGACAGGAGGACAGCGCCTTTTCTGCCCTGCAGGGTCCTGTACCTCCCAGCAAGAGGTGGCTAGGCTGGCCTGCTTAGGGACCCACTCAGGCCCTGCTGGTAGCAGCTGCTATCGCTTACCTGTCTGGCGGTGGGCAGCGCAGCTGGGAAGGTGTGGCTGGCGTGGGCCCCAGCTGGGCATGGCTTGGGGAGGCCCTAGTGGCGGAGTCAGCCACCTCCTCCTGGTACCTGGGAGAGGGTGGCAGACGGCGGCCCACCTCACCCGGTGCCCCTAGAAGAGCGGCTGCAACATGCTGCTCCCGCTGGCTCTGCTCCTCTCCTGGCTCTGCCTTTCATGGAAAGGGAAGGAGCGAGCGAGCGGCAGGGGAGGGGGTGGGGAAGCAGAGGGAGGGGAGAGGGGCACTCTGACAGATGATGCGCACTGCCACGCAGAGTCGGGGGAGGACCGCAGGCTCCGGCAGGATGGCACTGCCTGTGTGGCTCTCCCGCTGACAGCTCGCTCCCGGGCAGCTGCCTCTGAGGGGCTCTCCAGAATTCAGGGAGAGGCAGAGCGCAGAGGGATGGCTGGGGGTGGGGACGAGCGGGGGAGGAGGTCGCCTGGGGTACAAGGAGGTGAGGCAGGGTTGCTGGCACGGGGTGAGGGAGAAAGGATAACCTGCTCTGGCTCAAAAACAGACCAGGATGGAAGTGTTTGCTTAACGGGATGTGAAGGGGAAGAGACAAAGCCCCGTATTCCTGGCCTGGCTTCCAGGATGCCTCTCCCCCCTTGCATCACCATCCACTTGGGCTTAAGATTGAAGGGATGGCTAAGGCAATTCATCTCAAGCACAATTCCAACTTTCTCAAAGAGGAGGAAAAACCAGGCATGGGCGAGCACACTGCATGAAATGTTCAATGTCACTCGTCACCCTCCGTGGCAGGCAAGCCTGGGTGCCCCACCACCATGTGCCCATCCTTGACTGGAGGGGTCGTGGTGGCAAGAACAGGAGCCAGACGGAGGATCAGGAGGAGATGGGGAAAATCTGTCATGTGATGCTTCTGTCTGTAAAGTTCCATTTGAATGGTCAGGAGCAAAACCTTCTGGACAGCCTGGGCCAGTGCCCGGAGAGGCTCAAGAGAGTGACAGATGACTTTGTGTGGAGCCCAGAGTCCACTGGACCCGCCATGCACAGGCGGCAGGTTCACTGCACAGGCCCAGAGCTGACAGTCACCAGCTCTATTTACAACCACAGCCAGAAGAGGCTGACAAGGAAATAAACAAACAACAAACAGTGGAAGCCAGAGAAAACCAAAGGAAGCAGCAGCTGGGGAACTCTCCGTAAGCATAGCTAATGAAGGAAAGAGAGCTCTAAGCTAGGGCCTTCTCTGGAGGGAGAGAACAGGAGGCAGAGCAGGCACAAAGTGAGACAGCTACCCATTTCAAGGGAACTGTCCTTCCCCGTTGCAAGGTGGTTGTTTTCCGGAAGGCCTGTCTCCAGAGGTCCTGGCAAGCACTGACCCAGAAGATGACTCCTCAGGGGACAGCTGCTGCCGTCAGGACACTGCCTCTGTAGATGCTTGTGTCACCATTTCACTGCTGCACCTACTCAACAAAATCAGGTCCATTCACAGACAACTTTTGGGAACCTACTGTGTGCTGTGGAGGATGCGGGAATGACTACGACATTCTCGTCATGTCTTGGGTGATCCAGAAAATAAAGAGATGTAAATAGCTGACTCTAACGCACAGATAAGTGGATTAAGTACTCAAAGAGCACTGTGGAAATGCTGGGGAGTTGAGGGTGGGTGCAGAGGAGGAGAGACAGTCTAACTGGGAAATCGGAGAAGTCCTCTCAGAGGAGGTGTCCTCTGGCCTACCCATTGAAGGTTTTGTGTGGATTTTGACAAGCAGAGTTGATTGGGATGGAGAACACAAGGCTGAAAAACAGCCTGGGCAAAGGCACAGAGTCTACAGGTGCCTGGTGTGGTTGGAAAACAGTGGGTGATCTTTTTAGGGAGGCAAAAGTAGAAATCAGAGTGCGATAGGAGGCCACAGTGGAGGATCTGATGTAAGAGTTTCATTGTGACCAGATAGTAAAACTTAAATAAAGACGTGTTGAACAAATCACTTTTATCCTCAGATCTATATTTTGAGATACTGAGTGGAGAGGGAGTAGAGGCTAGTGAAGCCAACCAATGCTTATTATAAATTCCTAGATGAGAGAGGATGAGAGCCAATATAAGACAATGAACCTCTGAGAGAAAGGACAAAGTACCGAGATTTGGGAAGGCTGCCTCGGCAGAATGTGACCTGATGTGAGGGATGGACTGAGCTTAGACAAGGGTGGATGGGAAGGTGTTGAGAATGTCTCTATACTCTGTCATCTAAGAACTAGTGTTAAGGCTGAGGGACCTAGGAGGAAGAGCCGATGTTGGCAGGTAAAAGAAAACCTAGAATGAGTTGATTTGGGATTGGTTGAGCTCTGTTGATAGCCCAGGGCAGAAGATGAAGAGGAGATGGAAATATAGCATTGGATCTTAGCAAAGAAGAAGGAAGCTGGGAGCTCAGCATCTGAAGATAAGAGATGAGAGGAGGAGATTGACTCACCCACAGATAGCAAGAGAGGCAGGGCTGAGGGCAGGACCTTGAGAAGTGACTCCATTTAAAAGAGGAGCCAAAAAGGTATTGAGAAAAAAATCGTCAGAGAACGAGAGTGTAGGAGGACCAGAGGAATGAAGCATCACAGAAGCCAAAAAAGATGAGCTTTTGAGAAGAGTCAAAGACTGCAGAGAAGTCAATGTGGGTAAGAACAGAGATAAAAATGGCTGACTCAATTGCAGTCACTGGTGACCACTGAGAAAGCAGCTTAGGGCAGTAGGCCTCAAACTTCAGGGAACATGAAGCATCTCCAGAGAACTTGTTAAAACATGAATTGTAGCCGGGCTCGGTGGCTCAGCCTGTAATCCCGTGCTCTGGGAGGCCGAGGTGAGTGAATTGCCTGAGCCCGCGGGTTCGAGACCTGCTTGGGCAACTTGGCGAGACCTCATCTCTACAATAAATCAAAAACTAGCGGGGCGTGGTAGCGCGCACCTGTAGTTCCAACTACTTGGAAGGCTGAGGCGGAAGGATCACGAAGCCCAGCAGTCGAGGCTGTGGTGGCTGGGAGCGTGCCACTGCACTTCAGTCTGGGCGACAGTGAGACTCCAGCTCAAAAAAGAAAAACATGGATTGGCTGCCCCCTGCCCCAGAGTTTTCAATTCAGTATATCTAAGGTAGGATCTGGAAATGTGCATTTCTAACAAATTCCCAATGACGTTAATGCTGCTGGTCTGGGCATCACACTTGACAACTACTCGCTTAGAGTATTGTTTCCCAGAGTTTCAAATCATGGCACACACACTGGAGCCAATGGAGCCCAGGGCCCTGCCACGGTCGCCCAGGAGCTGAGAGAAGAACTATCTCAGCACACAGTAGTGTACACTAAGCAAACAGATTGGGAAGGTTGAGCTCAGAGGAATAAAAGGGAAAAAGCCAAGCAGCAAAATGTGAGTAAATGACTAGACTGTCAAAGAAATAAAGAGGATTTTGCTTTCAGGAACAGGGACTCTGTTTTATCTTTACTCCTCCAGCATCAAGTGAGTATCTGCACGTACAAGGACTCTATGTGTGTTAGAATAAAATGAATTGAGAAGTTTGGCTGAGAAGAAGGGAGAAGTGTTGTCTGCAGAAAATACAGACCCAACTCAACCAACACAGAAATAAAGAAGAAAGAAACCCAAGTTTTAAAAGGCAGAGGAATTCCACCAAGTCCTTAGTGAAGAGGATTTGGAAAAAATATCAGACCACACTGTAGTTTGTGGTACATTTATACAAACGTAGAATAAATATTTCCTAAACTGTACATGTACTATTGTCTCATAGATGTAGGACTCTAAAAACCTTCTGCTATTGTGCAAATCCTTTTATTAATTCACTGGTCAATATTTAGTTAGAATGTTTAACCTTTCTTTAGGATGACAAGACTTGGGTATTGAAAGGAAGAGATTAAAGAAATTGGAGGTATGAGAAACTTATACCATCTAACACTTTGTCTTGCTTTCTTTTCTTTTAATTGAAATAAATTATCCCATAAAATAGTAAGTTATCTGAGGGCAGAGGCTATAACTAATGCATCTTTTTTATTGCCAGTACCCAGTGCAATGCCTGTACATGTAGTAGATACTCTCCCTGCAAAAATCTTTGTTTTTAAGAAAGAAGGATGTGCATTCATTGCGGTACTATTCATAAGAGCAAAAACATGGAACCGACCCAGATGCCCATCGAAAGTGGACTGGATAAGTGGTTCATATACATTTTAGAATACTACACAGTCGTAAAGAAGAACAAAATCATGTCCTTTGAAGAAACATGGCTGCAGCTAGAGATCATCATTCTAAGTGAACTATCACAGAAGCAAGAAAACTGAATACTGCATGCTCTGACTCATAAGTGGGCCCTGATCATTGGACGTATGAGCACAAAGGTGGGAATAACAGACACTGGACACTGCTAAAGGGGAGAGGGAGAGGGGCACACAGTCACATAGTGGGTACAAGGTCCTCTACCAGGGGAGAAAAGGCGTGCTAAGCCCAAACCTCACCTGCACACAATTTATTTATGTAGTAAATCCCCCCATGCACCCCACAACTCTAAAATAATTAAAAAGAAAGAGGAAAAGACTGAGAGGGAGAAGGAGATAGGGTGAAAAGAAGGGAGAGAAAGGAAGAAAAGGAAGCAAAGTATGACAGAATTTGGAAAGAAAGGAGGAGCAAGAACACAGGTAAAGAGTCGTAGGCAGACTAGTGACCCCCCAAAATACCTACACTTGAATCCTCAGAACCTGTGAATATGTCACCTTATGTGGCAAAAGGGACTTTGTAGATGGGATTCAGGTTAAAGACCTCAAACTAGGAAGATAATCTTAGATTATCTGGGCAAACTCAATCAAATAACATGAGTTCTTAAAAGTAGAAGAGAAAGACAGAAGAGTCAGAAATAAGGTAGAAAAAGAAAGTGAAAATGAAAGCACAAGAACTTGACCTGTGTTTGTTAGCTGTGAAATGAAGGAAGAAGGCCAGGGGCCAAGGAGTACAGTCACCACTAGAACCTGTAAAACACCTCTGGTGACGTCCATCATGGAATATTATGAACCATAAAAAAGAAAGAAATCATGTCATTTGCAGCAACATGGGTGCAGGTGGAGGCCATCACCCAAAGCAAATTATCACAGAAACAGAAAGCTGAATGCTGCATGTTCTCACCCATAAGTG